GGGGTCCATCGGGAGGCGGGGCCCGGTGTGGGCGGGGCCCGGTGTGGGCGGGGCCCGGGCCTCCCCGCCCTCGGCCACTTCCGGGAACCCGCAGGGCCCGATCCCGGCAGTGGCCCCTGTGGCCGGATCGCCTTCCCAGCAGCGACGCGGCCATGGCGCGGACTCTCGGGATCTCGCTGGGCGGCTGCCTGCTGCTGACAGGTGAGGGGCCTGCGGAGGGGTGCTGGCTCGTCCGCGCGCTGCGCGTCTCCCAAGCCGGGCTGCCTGCCCCCGGGCCACATCCCGACCCCACCTGCTCTGGGGAATTGGGTCGGCAAGACCTGCTTTGCTACAGACGGCGGCGCTGAGCCCCAGGGAACACCCCTGTTCGTCACCGTAACCAAAATAAAAAATAAAACCACTGACGTAGAGTTGATTCGGACTCATAGCGACCTTTTGGGACAGAGTAGAACTGTCCCATAGGGTGTCCAAGGGTGTAATCTTTAGGGAAGCAGACTGCCACATATTTCTTCCGCGGGGCAGCTGGTGGGTTAGAACTGCTAACTTTTCAGTTAGCAGCCCAGCCCTTAACCACGGTGCCACCAGGGCGGAAAAGGATACAAATGCCAAATTCTATTTTTTTAAAGTAAGTCAAATATCTTTTTTAAAAAATTTTGATTATTATTGCCCTTTTATTATCAGTATCTTTATAATTCCGATCTTTATTTGTCTTTGGGGGTTGGAAACATTACATGTAAACATCTATGAGTGAGCTTCTGGGAATGATAATATCAGTAAATTATGTGCTGCTACATTGTATGTCATACATATTACTAATGATAATATGTACCAAAAAAAAAGACAGTCGAAAGTGAGGTTCTTGTAACTCAAATACGTCGTAAGTCGGGGACAACCTGTAGTTAAATTCATTCCCAAGCTCTCTTCTCCCTTCCCCTGAAATATCCCCTTGGAGGATTTCAGCACAACCCTGGCATTAAATACCAGCGATGGACCCCTGACTGGAGAGTTTCGATCTCCTGGCAGTGGCTGGGTAAGGGGGAGGTGGTGGTTGAGTATACTCTTCTATCTGGTTTTGTGTATATTTGAAATTCTCTATAATCGAAAAATTTTTAAAATAATTTCTGTCTCTAGCCCCATTCTTCCCTCTGGGCTCCGGGTGAGTTCATCCAGCTGTGTCTCTGACATCCCTTCTTGAGTCTTTCTCCAGCATCTCAGACCACATGGCTAGAACAGGACCAGGCGCTTAAGCCAGAAGTGGATATTAACCTCTACTTCTCCACATCAAATGTATCAGGCAGTCTAGAGTTCATACCTCTGACAATATATCTAAAATCCACACCTCTCCACCACCTCCCAAATCCAGGTCGCCCTACCTGTCATCACTTTGCTCTCATTGTTGTTAGGTGCTGTCCAGTCGCTTCTGACCCATAGCGACTCTCTAGGACAGAGCAGAACTTCGCTCTTGCCCCCCAGCAGTTTCTTCTCGCGGTTCTTCAAGTAAAATCCGAAGTCCTTAGCGTAGCTAACAAGGCGTGGCGTGATCTGGCCCGTCTGCCTCTCCAGTATTGTTTCATGTCTGTCTCTGTCTCCATAACCCATGTGGCATTTTAAGACATGGAGCAGTAGGCGGGGGCCAAAGTTTGAGTGTGGTCATTTTCTTGGCCAGCCTTTTTGAAGAAAAAATTGCGAATGTTTTTCTCTATTTTTACAGCATTAGGAATGGTCCCCCCTCCAGAAAACGTCAGAATGCATTCAGTTAATCTCAAGAACGTTCTTCAGTGGGAGCCTCCTGCTTTTCCCGAGGGGAATCTGACTTACACAGCTCAGTTCCAAAGGTGGGTGTGGAGGCACTGGTGGCGGGAAAGCCCTGAGGTCGGCGGAAAGTTCTGATCGCTACAGCCACGTGGCCCCAGCAAACCAGAGCACCGCTCTCTTGGCCTTTTTCCTTCTGCTCGGGAAATTCTTGTGATCAGCTTTTCCTCTTAATTTTTCCTTCTGGTGGTCGTTCACAGTCTGACTGTCTCGGGAATCCGTGGATGTAAATGTCATGAGCCACAGAGGGAGCCTGGTGCTACACAGAACACAGCTCATGTATCACCATGTAAGGAGCCCTGGTGGCACAACAGTTAAGCACTCAGCAGCTAACTTAGAGGTTGGTGGTTGGAAACCACCCAGCAGCTCTGCAGGAGAAAGACCTGGCAATCTGCTGCTGTAAAGATTGAAAAAAAAACCTATTGCTGTCAAGTCAATTCTGACTCATAGTGACCCAATAGGACAGAGTAGAACTGCCCCATCGGGTTTCCAAGGAGCAGCTGGTGGATTCAAACTGCTGACCTCTTGGTTAGCAGCCTAGCTCTTACGCACCGCCAGGGCTCCCTGTAAAGATTACAGCCTAGAAAAACCTATGGGGCAGCTCTACTCTGTTACCCGGGGTCACCATGAGTCAGAACTGACTCGACAACACCTAACAACATGGTTTTTAAGAGAAAAGGTCACTAATAGCATCTCTGGCTATTAGAGTTGTATTGTTAGCAGCAACAGTTTGCAGCTGGAAGCTCTCCAGGAAAACTGAGTGATGCCCAGTGGTCAGGGAGACCTCACTGTCTCGTCACCAGCCACCCCCTGTAGATGATAACAGCGTGCTCCAGGGCACAGGGGGTGCGGATCATTTGCATAGTGGATGTTCAGTTACTCTGTGGCCCTGGAGAATTTTGCGTGTCGGTCGTTTGCCCTTCCACAGGGTCTTAGAGACAGCCATCCATGTTAGATTTCCCCTAAGTCCCTGAGACCAGCTCCTGAGATTGAAAGCAAGACGGTGATTGTCTGTTACTTACCCAGTTCTCTGAATACGGCGGAGGCTCCCGAAGGAGGGGTGAGTGTCACCAGATGGTGCTCTCCATGGTAATCTGCCTCCCTGTCCCTGTCCTGCCTGCCAGGAAGTCCATGCCAACCCTCCTGTGGCAGCCTGCCGTGGTACCCACAGGCTGGACTGCAGGTGACACCCCTCTATGCCAGGTACGACAGCAGACAAGGGCACAGGCTGAGAAGCTGATGCCGCTCCTCCCTGTTTAATGTGCAGAGACAGGCAGCCCCTGCAGGGAGACCGGAGGACCTGGAGGACCAGGATCCCACGACCCCGTGCTCCTTATTCACCTTCATTCTACAGACACATCCAGGCAGGCCTTTCTCCCGCGGCGCCAATGGGTGGGTTCGAACTGCCAGCCTGTAGGTTAGTAGTCAGATGCAAACTGTCTCTGCCACTTAGGGACCTCAGAGAAGAGATAGGTAAACAAGGCAATCTTGTCCCTGTGGCTTTTTGTTTTCCTTTTTTAACTTTTTAGTTTGAAATCATTCCAAGCTAACTGAAAATTTCAACATTTCTAGTGTGGTTCAGAGGCCCGCCAAACAGCCTATGTCCAGATTTACCAGTTTTTGACGTGTGCCGCGTTTGCTGTATTTTTTCTCTTCCTCCTCTTCTCTCGTCCTGTCTCCCTTCCCTCCCTCTCGCTCTTTCTCATACACAATGGCCTCTGTTGTTGTTAGCTGTCAACTCATGGCGACCCCGTGTACCATGGGATGAAACATTGCCCAGTCCTGCACAGTCGTCACAGTCGTTGGCATGTTTGAGTCCCTTGTTGCAGCCACTGTGTATTTTGAGTGCATTCCAACCTAGGGGGCTCATCTTCCAGCCAGTGACGTCACTAAGGTTGGTGTCACCCCGTGCAGTAACTCACAGTGTCTCCCTCTGTGGACCTCCTCCTGTAGCAGACCATACAGAATCCTCATGAATGTTTTTCTGCTAATGTTACTCTAAATCATAATTTCCATCTATCATTCCTTCTTTTCCTTTAATTACTACTTTCTTCTCAAAAAAGTTATTGATACATGTTCACAAATATTAATTACCACAATATTGGAGTTAAAACACCAGAAAATTTGACAAAATCAGCAACTGTAAAAACACTGGTGGGAAAGAAAACAACAGCATGTGCTTGTAGTACATGCCGATGCAACCGCGTGATTCGAGGCGTCACTGTAATTGGGTAATAATGACAGCTCTGACCTGAGCGCGGTAGAAGGTTCAAGAAGTAAATTAACATAGAGTTATAGCCTTGTAGCTATGTTAATAATTGTAAGCTGGGCTTACGAAAAATGTTTTTATTGTTATATCTAACTACAGGGATATTTTTATTAAAAATAAATAAATTTCTGCAGAAAAACTGTACAAAAATTTTATAGACAGTCATTTGGGTGTCACCCCCTCTGACTGTCACCTGGTATGATCTGTACCCCCCCAGCAGCACTGCTATGTCCAGCACAAAACCCAAACCAAACCCACTGCCGTCGAGTCGATTCCAAGTCATAGCAACCCCATAGGGTTTCCAAGGCTGTAAATCTCTGTGGAAGCAGACTGCCACATCTTTCTCCCATGGAGCCGCTGATGGCTTCGAACCACTGACCTTTCGGTTAGCGGTTGATCGCTTTAACCACTGCGCCACCAGGGCTCCTTTCTAGCACTGTATCTGGCAATATTCTGTTGTGATCCATAGGGTTCTCATCGGCTAATTTTCAGAAGTAGATCACCAGATCTTTCTTCCTAGTCTGTCTTAGTCTGGAAGCTCTGCTGAAACCTGTCCACCATGGGTGACCCTGCTGGTATTTGAAATACCAGTGGCAGAGCTTCCAGCATCATAGCAACCTGCAAGCCACCAAATGCCCTTTACCCCTTAGTATATTTCATAAGACTAAAGATAAATTTTTATATCATCACAGTAAAATTATCAAGTTCAGGAGCCTTAACATTTATACAATACTTTTACGTGATCTGTAGTCCATAGTCCATTTTGTCACTTGTCCGAAGGATCCAGTCAAGATCACATCTTGGTAGCCATGTCTCTTTCATTTCCTTTCATCTGGAACAAGTCCTTGACTTTTTTTTTTTTTTTTCCTTTCTTGACATGAATATTTTTGAAAAATACAAGCCCGTTATCTTACAGAAAAAATGTCTGAATCTGGTTTTCTCTGATGCTTTTTCATGATGAGATAAGATCAGGAGATGGATGTTTTAGTTCGTTGTTGTTAGCTGCTGTCTGGTTGATCCCAACTCTTGGTGACCCCCTGCACAATGGGATCAGACTGTTGTGATCCGTAGGGTTTTCACTGGCTGATTTTCAGAAGTGGATTGCCAAGCCTTTCTTCCTAGTCTCTCCTAGTTGTAAGCTCCACTGTAACCTGTTCAGCATCATAGCAACACACAAGCCTCCACTCACAGACAAGTGGCAGGTGCACACGAGGTGTACTGGCTGGGAATCAAACCCAGGTCTCCTGCATAGAAGTCAGGCATTCTGCCACTGAACCGCCACCGCGCTCTTCTTCGTTTAATACCACGCCGATCTTATTGGACCCTTCTCGGGGTATTGCATTGGCAGGCACCTGATGATTATTTGCCTCGTAATGATGATGTTAATTTTGGTCACTTGGTTAAGGGGTTGTCCAGTTTCTTCACTGTGTATTATTATTTTTTCTTTTACAATTAGGAAGTAATTTGTGGGGAGATACTGGGGGTATATCCTATTTTGGTGTTTTTTTTTTTTTTTTTTTTGGTACTTCAGGTGAAGATTTACAGAACAAACTGGCTTCACATCAAACAATTAGTACGCATTGTTTCGTGACTTGGTTGCCAACCCCACAACATGTTAACACTCTCCCCTTCTCGACCTTGGGTTCCCTAATACCAGCTTTCCTGTCCCCTCCAGCTTTCTTGTCCCTCCCCCTGGGCTGGTGTGCCCCTTTAGTCTCGTTTGGTTTTATGGGCCTGTCTAATCTTTGGCTGAAGGGTGAACCTCGGGAGTGACTTCATTACTGAGCTAAAAGGGTGTCCAGGGGCTACACTCTCGGGGTTTCTCCAGTCTCTGTCAGAGCAGTAAGTCTGGTCTTTGTTTATGTGTGTGTGAGTTAGAATTTTCTTCTACATTTTTGTCCAGCTCTGTCCAGGACTTTCTACTGTGATCCCTGTCAGAGCAGTTGATGGTTGTAGCCAGGCACCATCTAATTGTACTGGATTCAGTCTGGTGGAGGTCATGATAGATGTGGTCCATTAGTCCTTTGGATTAATCTTTCCTTGTGTCTTTGGTTTTCTTCACCCTCCCTTGCTCTAGACGGGGTGAGACCAGTGGAATATCTTAATGGCCGTTCACAAGCTTTTAAGATCCCATATGCTACTCACCAAAGTAGGATGTAGAACATTTTCTTTATAAACTATGTTATGCAAATTGAGCTAGATGTTCCCTGAGACCATGAGCACCACAGCCCTCAGCCCAGTAATTCGGTCCCTCAGGGAATTTGGATTTATCCATGGAGCTTCCACGACTTTGCCTTGGACAAGTTGTGCTGACTTCCCCAGTATTGTGCAGTGTCTTAGCCTTCACCAGAGTTACACTTACGTATTGTCTATTTAGTGTTTTTCCATCCCCCCGCCTCGGTATATCCTATTCTTGATCAGACTTCCTTACCCTAGATTTAGCACCCATTGATGATTTTTACCTAGATCAATTTTTACTGTCATGGTTACAAAGTACTGATTTTCCTAACACCATCATTCCTTCTGTATTTGTGAGTCAGCATTCTGCTGGAAAGAAGCACTTCCCTTCTCTATCATTTATTTATGTGCTATTTGTCAACAATAGGGACTCAGGGATTCTTACTTTCTTCAGTGGATTATAATCCATTCCTGTCCTTGTTTATTTTGATGTTCACATTGTCACAGATTGGGGCCAGGGCGAACACCTTCAGGCTGACTCCTGTATCCTTTTGACATTGCTACTGGGGTGTCACAACCTGTAGGCCTAGGAGGTTCTTCCATGCCTTGTCCCATTCCATGTGGTATCTCTCGTCTCCCACAGTGACAACAGCCCAGGCTCCCGACAGCGTCTGTACGTTTACTTATTTGCTCAACAGCAGAACAGTTTCAGAATTCCTGTTCCTGTACTACGGTGAAAAACAAACCCGCTAAGAAGGTTCATGGTTTGTTTACAACTTTCTCTCTTTAGACTGTGGGTTTAGGATCAATGTACTAGAATACTTTAGAGGAGTTCTTTGGTTTTTCTGTTTAGTGAAACTTATTCTATTCATTTGAAATAGCCAATTCATTTATTTCTGTTGTACTCAGTTTTAAGGGTTTTCTACCCACCCTTGTTAATTGAATTATTATTTTTTTACTATGTAGAACACTAACACAATTCCGAAGTCAAAACTATACACAAAAGTATACTTAGGAAAATGTCGCTCCCTCCTCTACCCTTCTGCCCCATTCCCTGCTCCCCAACCCCCTGTACATAACCAGTAACCAATTTCATTAGTTTCTGGTCTGTCCTTTCTGTGGTGGGTGTGTTTGTGTGTGTGTGTGTGTGTGTGTGTGTGTGTGTGTGTGTGTGTGTTTTCAAAGCTAAGCAGGTAAATGTATGTTTTCTTATTTGTTCTTCTTTCTTACCCAAAAGGTAGCATGAGTACACTCTTGTGTCTTGCATTTTTTCACTTATTGACACATCCTGGACATCAGTCCTCATCAGTTCACAGAGAGCGTCCTTGCTTTTTTTCACAGCTGCGTGGTAGTCCATCGAGTTCGTGCGTCAGAGTGTATCCAGCATCTGCCTGCCCAGATGTTTGCACGGGTAGAGTAGGGCTCCAGTGAAGCTGCTGCGCCGCTTGGCAAGAATAGTAGAGGACTTAGGAAGGGTCACTCTACAACTTACTTTTTCCCTAAGGTATATTTGCTCATCCTGGTTGGTGTTAAGGAGCCCTGGTGACACGGTGGTCAAGTGCTCACCGGAATGGACTCAATGGCGACGGGTTTGGTTTTGGTTTTTTTAGTGCAAGGAAAGGCTTGAAGCCTTTTTCAATGATGTAAAAGCTGCACGTGCGGCAGGTGAAGGTGATTGGGATGAAGACTTCGTCGCACAGAGGGCTTGGTTCAGTCCTTTCAAAGTCGGGACAAATTTCCATCGCGTTAGAGGGTTAGTACAAGTCGGAGTGAGCCAGTTCATAACCCGGGGACGTCCTGGGGTTCCTTCTTCCTGGCGTTATTGTGAAGAGTCGATGAGCTAACGCTAAGAAAGTACTTGTCAGTATTATCACGTTGCCTGACACATAAGTGCTCAATAAATGTTGGCTGTTATTATCTTCATTACCATCATCTTCATCATCACCGACAAGGGCAGCTAAATTTGGAGGTGTTTTTAGCACCAAGAGAGGAAGGCACAGTGGGGAATCAGACAGACACCTCACTTTTTACAGGATGAGAACTTGGTTTCCTTAGGTAAAAAAACAAAAATTAAAAACCCCGTTGCCGTCAAGCTAATTCCGAATCAAAGTGTCCCTACAGGACAGAGTAGAACTGCCCCATAAGGTTTCCAGGGAGCAGCTGGTGGATTCAAACTGCCAGCCTTTCGGTTAGCAGCCGAGCTCCTAACCCCTGCGCCAGGGTGTCTGGTCCTTAGGTCAGGTGTAGCTAATTGCACCACCTCAGGCCGTCCTGAAGTTACAGAAGGTGTCCCGAGAGCTGTCCCTTTGCTCCTCCTACTTCACATTGCTGCCACCCTCCCTTTGGTGGTTGGGGTGGGGGGTAGGGGGTGGGGGCTGGAGATCTGAAATCAAAGAATCATTTTACAGTTTTTTCCAGAGTAATTACAACTATAGTTATTTATAGGACATCATTTGAAATCATTGTAATATTATTTTGGCTAATCTGTGTTTATCAATATTGCCCAGGCTGCGTTCCACTACCCTCAGAAATACATTATCAAAGAAAGAAGTTTTCTTGGTCAGACACATTGAACACTCACCCCCTTTATGGAGAAACCCATGCTTATTAGGATATTAAAGTCTCTTGAAAAAATTAAAAAAATAGTCTCTTGAGACGTCCCGTTGTGAAGAAATCTGTTTAACAATGTTTAGCACAGTCTTCTCCCCAAAAATCATTTAACCATACAGTGGATCATTTTTGAAATGCTTTGTAATATCTCAAGGGTTATTAGGGTTCCCATGGAGCACGGTTTGAAAAATATAAATATATATATTGTTGTTACTTGCCATTGAATTGGCTCTGACTCCTGACAACCTTATGTTGTCAGAGAATGAATGAAACATTGCCCAGTCCTGCACCATGGTCAAAATTGTTGGTATGTGTGAGCCCATGGTTGCAGCCACCATGTCAGTCTGTCTCGTGGAGGGTTTTCCTTATTTTCACCGGCCCTCCACCCTGCCAAACATCATGTCCTTTTCTAGCGAGTGGTCTTTCCTGATGACGTGTCCAAAGTAAGCAAGTCAAAGTCTCACCATCCTTACTTCTAAGGAGCATTCTGGCTGTAGTTCCTCCAAGACTGATTTGTATATACATACTATTCATCAAATTAATGATTCAGAATTGGCATTATTTTCTCTTATTATTCTCCATCAGTCTTTGATAGCAATGGAAAGAAAGGACCAGTCATCCTCAGAGGCATACCAAAGCTGGACAATGAATAAAGAAGACTGAAGAAGAACTGACGCCTTTGAATGGTGTTGGCAAAGGATACTGAATATACCATGGACTGCCAGAAGAACAAACAGGTCTGTCTTGGAAGAAGTACAGCCAGAGTGCTCCTTGGAAGAGAGGATGACGAGACTTCATCTCACGTACTTTGGACACATTATCAGGAGGGACCAGTCCCTGGAGAAGGACATCATGCTTGATAGGGTAAAGGGTCAGCGGAAAAGAGGAAGACCCTCAACGAGATGGATTGACATAGTGGCTGCAACAGTGAGCTCAAACATAGCAACAGTTGTGAAGGTGGCACAGGACCAGGCAGTGTTTCTTTCTCTTGTACATAGGGCCATGGTGAGTTGGAAACAACTCCATGGCACCTAACAACAACAACATCCTCAGAGAGACTAGAGTTAGAACCCCCATAATTTTATTTTTCTGCTTTTGTAGTTATAACAGCTTCCAAGATAAATGCAAGTATACTACCTTGACGGAATGTGATTTCTCAAGTCTTTCCAAATATGGTGACCACACCTTGCGAGTCAGGACTGAATTTGCAGATGAGCATTCAGACTGGGTAAACATCACCTTTTGTCCTGTGGACGACAGTAAGTAATTTTGTTTTCCATTTCATTATAACATCGTCATCTTTCCTTGGTTTTTCCCCACTGGTTGGTCCATCAGCAAGAATTCTTGGAGTGCCCACAAAGTGGATGGCCTTAAATAAGGAGCTTAGGGAATATAATAAAGAGGGCTGTGGCCTTAAAGAAGTTCTTGGGAGAGGCAGAAAGGGAAAGGCATATCATTAATAAAATAATTAAACATAAATGTAATTACTTTAATGCCTCATAGTGAGAATGCATGGGAGCCAGTGCTGTTAATGGAAAAGCTGGAAGGATTAATATAGCACGTTTTCTGGGAGGAATTCAGTTTGGAATTATGACTCAAACGAAGAATAAAGGTTATTCTAGGCATGTGGCCACCTTGGGTAATGGTTTGGGGATAGAAAGACCAAATGCAGACAGCCAGCTTGCCCAGAACAAAGGACAGAAGGGACTAGATACAGCATAAGTTGATGGAAGACGGTTCAGGTCAGATAGGCTGGTAAGCATCAAAAAGAGTGTTCCACGGTTCCACGGTTCCAAGTCATGAGACAGATGTAATTAGAACACCAAGAATTTAAAATTAATTAGACCACGATATAGCCATTGAGAAAGTAAAGAGGGCCAGGGATTGCAGGAACCTTATGAACAAAGTTCAGGTATAGCCCTCCAAGGGGTGTGCAGAGAGAAGCACAAGAAAGAGTGTGTCTATGTTGGAAAACAAGTTGCCGTCAAGTCGATTCCAACTCATGGCGACCCAGAGTGCGTTAGAGTAGAACTGAGCTCCGTAAGGTTTTCAGTGGTTTTTTTTTGGAAGTAGATCATCAGACCCTCCTTCTGACGTGCCTCTGGGTGAACTCAAACCTCTAACCTTGCCCTTAGCAGCTGAGCACATTAACCGTGTGCACCACCCAGGGACTCCATCTGTCTGGGGAAGGGTCTTTATACCCAAAGTCCCCTGCTCTGGACCCCCATAGCTCCTCGGTGGAGAATGAAACCAGGTTGCCCTGCTCCCCTTTCCCAATTCTGTCCCAAGCTTGGGCAAAAAACTCTATTTCAGGAGTTAGAAATCGTCAAAGTTACATCATCAAAGGTATCTTTATAAAAACTAAGAAAAACACTAACATAGAAAACACAAACAGCTTCACCAGCAGTCAGGTCTGCAGAACACAGTGCGGGTTTCTGATCATGTAATTGCTCATTGACTCGCCAGGTTCTGACTTGTTCTAAATCCTATTTGAGGTCCCCTCTAGGGAAGTTCCCTTTAGAAACTGAGGTACAAAGTGGTCGAGCAGCTTGCCCAAAGATCCCGCAAGTAATGAGTGGCAGAGCTGGGATTCAGACCCAGGTCCTGCGTCCATGCTCTTAGCCCCCACTACCCTATTGGCCTCTTGCAGTTTATACAGGTTAGTGAGAGGAAGGGGCTTCAAGACTTTACACTGAACCTATTTATACCTGCTTTGGAAAAAATCGAGTAGTTTTTTTATATGGTTTGCAGCCAGCAGCAGATTAGAGATGGAGTACAATGCTAGATGCAGGCCCATTGGCAGCCTCAGAAAAGTAACAGAACACAGGGCATAACTCAGACAGCACTGTTGTCCGGAGTCATTTATTATTCATTCAACTATTATTATTAATCAGTGCCTACTATGTGCCAGGCACTATTCTTAGTGCTGAAGCTACAACAGTGAACAAGACAAAATCCCAGCCCTCGTGGGTGTACACTCCGATGGGGAAGACCACTAATTATGTATGTATTTTAAGATAGGTAGTAACTGTGGCTCTCAAGAAAAATAAAGCAAGGTAATGGGGCAGAAAGTGGTGGGAGCTCATCCTGAGAGACAGTCTTTCTGGGGAGGTGGCATTTGGACAAAGACTCAGATGAAGTGAAGGGGTCAGCCACGTGAATATCTGGGAAAAGCATTCAGGAGGAGGACAACTTTAGACTTTGTTAGAAAAATGTATGTGGTTAATCATATATGTTAAGCATATATAATAAAATACCATCTGTAGCTTCCAACCCAGCAAAAAAAAGCAAATGAAGAAAATTCAATCCAATAGGAAGCAGCAAAGAAGAGGAGGGGAAGAAGCCCCCCCTCAAAAAAAGGGCAGTTTTTAACAGAAAACAAAGCAATGTGGTTAGAATAATTCCAAAACAAAAAGAAACCCATTGCTGTCGAGTCAATTGTGACTCACAGTGACCCTATAGGACAGTAGAACTGCCACATAGGGTTTCCAAGGAGCAGCTGGTGGATTAGAACTGCCGACCTTTTGGTTAGCAGCCAAGCTCTTAGCCACTGCGCCACCAGGGCTCCGTGGAATAATTCCAAACATATCAGAAATCATAATAAACGTAAATGAACTACACTCAATTAATAAAAACAGACTATCAGATTATTTTTAAGAAACAAAATCCAGCTGTCCTCCTCAGCCACATAAATCAGTGTCACAGCAATGCTATATCATAGCACCATGCTAAGTAGATCAATTGTTCTGCACAGTTATGAAAAATAAATGTTGAAGTGAAATTTTTTAAATGTGATTTTTGATTGTCATCTTGCTTTGTTTTTATGCTTAGCCATTATCGGACCTCCTGGAATACAAGTAGAAGCGCTTGCTGATTCTCTACATATGCGTTTCTTAGCCCCCAAAGTTGTGGATGAACCTGAAACATGGACCATGAAGAATTTTTATACCTTGTGGGTTTATAATGTGCAGTACTGGAAAAATGGCACCGATGAAAAGGTAAGCTCAGTTAATCATATGCATTTGAGATGGAGGGTCTCATGTTCCTTGCTGAGTTTTAGCCTGAGGCCATGATAATGGACAGAGGAGGCAAGGAGGCCATTCCCAGGAGCGTCTTGCAAGGTGGCAGTACCTTGTGGCTCAGAGGATCTAAGGCCCGAAAGCCAGGAGCTCCTCAGTCTGAGGGATGATCAGTATCTGTGGCTCAGGCTTCCCATACTCCCAAGGAAAATGTGTGGAGCAAACCTCCAAGGTGCTCATGCCCAGTGAAAACAGGGTTTTCTCTCCCTGAAGGGAAGTTGCAGGAGAAGGCAGAGCAGAGTCAGCAGTTGGCGTAAGGAGCTTAGACTCAGAGCAGGAATCAGCTGAGGGACTACTATTTCATGGGACCAACCCTGATGACCCATGAAGACCACAGGTCAGTCAAGTCCATGGTCAGGGCAGCCCCATGTCTGGACAGTGGATGAACAATGTCACATTTGACCTCTTGGACCCCACTTTTCCTCCATTGCTCTCCTCCTCTACAGGGGACAGGATTTTTCTTTTTTTTTTTTTAATGTAGGCTTGGAATCAAAAGGCATGGCTGGAATGCTGGTTCAGCCACCATATGACTCTGGTCACATTCTTGACCACTGCTTCCTCGGTCTGCAAAGTGGGCATAATAACCTGCTTCGTTAATAAAATGAGGATAGTGGCCTACTTCATAGGGTCGTTGTGGGAATAATTTAATGACATAATGAAAGAAAGCAACCTGTCCCTTTGTTTGGAACAAGGCATGTGATCAAGATGTGAGATTCCCTTCCCTTTATGTAGACGTATTATCGTTCGTCTGTGGTCACATTTTATTCTTACACTTAGTCCTTCCGAGCTGAAAGCCAGTCATGGTCCTAAACTGGTTTATATATATGTTACATTATATATATATTCTCCTCCACACTAAATGTTGATTTTCTCACTTAATTCTCAAGAGTTTGGGAGGAATGAATCACCCATGTTTATTTTCTTAGGAATGATGTAATTAAATTTATATATACACACTATGTAACCTAAAAAAATGTCAATTTTTTTTTTTCAACAATGCTCCATTAAATGATGCAGGATATCTGCATTCTTCACAGAACCGAAGATTTTGCTAGAGTAAAACCCCAGGAAATATGTGCCTGGGAAACATTCCAGAATAATTAGTTTCATAATAACATATCAAATGCAGACATCTCTACTAAACTCTGGGGTGCAAAGATAAGACAGGGTTGGTCCCCTCAAGGGGCTAGCAGTGCTCTCTAACTGAAGGTCTGATTCCACAGTCGTCATGAATGGGGGCCCCCTGGACCAAGCATGGGTTGCAAAACCCGTTTTGTATCTAGCTTCTTATCTAGAATACGCCCACAGCCCGGACATCTGGTTACACATTTGTTCTGTCGCTTTCGCCTCAACTGTGTGGGAGCCTCTGGCATGAGCTGCAGAGCGCTGGGCAGGCCTCCTGCTCCACAGTTCCACCACACTGGTGCCTGCCATGTCGCCATTACTCGTTTACATGCTTCCCTTGCAGAATGCAAATATTCCTGAGAGGGCGCCATGTTAGCTCTGTACACGAATGGCATGGGAGGCTTTTGGAAAGTCTGGCTCTTCCTGATGGAAGAAAGTGATGAGATAAAACCAGAAGGAGCCCAGAATGAAAGCAGGGGAGGGAAGGAGCCTCGAGGATGTGTCTCTTCACTTCTCTGCTGCTTTCTTCCCTGCTGGCCATGTATACGTTGACCTCCGAGTTTAGCCTTTGAAAAAATAACCGTAAAATTTTAGAAATATTGGCTTTCTGAAAATGAAAGCTGGGGTTTGGCTGTGGGTTTTTTTTGTTGTTGTTGTTTTAATTTTTTGAGATTATAACTTACACTTCCTGTATTCAATAAGTAGAATCCAATTCTTGCCCTTACCATAGATTCTCATGCAATAAAGGAATATAGACAAGATGTCAACAACCCCAACCACAAAAGAAAAATAATTACAGAAAGTGAAGATACGCATTCTGTGATCACTCTCTATTGAAGTTTCTATTCATTCATGTAACACATTTTACATAGGACTCTTGTATAAAAAAATTAACAACCATGATGGAAATATGGGTAGTGTGTGCTTTTAGGAGTCTCTGGGTGGCCTGGGCAGTTAAGTGCTTGACTGCTAACCAAAAGGCTGGTGGTTCAAACCCACCCAAAGGAGCCTTGGAGGACAGGCCTGGTGATCTGCTTCTGAAAAATCACAGCCTTGAAAACCCTATAGGGCAGTTCTACTCTGCACACATGAGGTCGCCATGAGTCAGAATCGACTCGACTGTGACTGTTTCTTTTCGTGGTTTTTTTTTTTTTTTTTGTACATTCTTTTAATTCCCATTATTTTGACAGGAACTATTTTAGTTTCTCTAATTCAGGAATTTATTGCCAGTTATGATATCTCATATTCAAATTAAATGAAGATGAGCCAGTGATACCAGCCCCCAGAGGTAGCCTGGGTCCATGCCCCGAGGTGTGGTCAGGCCGCCGCAGGGAGGTCAACCCAGCCACCACAACTGGAGCGGTGATTCAGCGGCAAACCCCAGCCAGCCAGGACGAGAAGTGTGCCCTTGACTGAGGAAGAGTCTTACCGTATATGACTGACTCATCTTTTAAATAAAGGAAGTGGGATGGTTTGCGTGTTATGTCCCCTGGAGAATTCAGGAGAGGAGATGGTTTGTCGTGTCACAGGGATCCTGACCCACCCCTTAGAAGGGCATCAGGGTCCCCTGCAGTGAGTGGGAGAGCTCCAGCCCCTGCCCCTTCCTGCGTTAGATTATGACTGGTAAGTACGAGGCAGGACGATGGTGTCCCTTCACGGCTGAGCCCTTTTCTTATTTTCATCTTTGTTCCTAGTTTCAAATTACCGCTCCGTATGATTTTGAGGTCCTCCGAAATCTGGAGCTGTGGGCAACTTACTGTGTTCAAGTTCAAGGATTTCTTCCTGATCTGAACAAAACTGGGGAATGGAGTCAGCCAGTCTGTGAGCAAACAACCGATGACGGTGAGTTGTGGGAGGTACAGTCTGTATCTCAGCCTTTTCTGAGCATTCTAAGTAGCCTTATGGATACCTTTTAGACTTTATAGGGTTGAAGCCTCCTTAGACATCATCATGTCCAGCTCAAACACCAATATGAGAACTCTTGTTGTTAGTTGCTGTGGAGTTGGCTCTGACTCATGGCAACCTTGTGTATAACAGAATGAAACATTCAATCCTAGGCCATCTCCGTGCTCTTTGATGCATTTGAGCCCGTTGTTGAGGCTGTTGTGTCAATCTGTCTCATTAAGCGTTGTCCTCGTTTTCACTGACCCTCTGCTTTACCAAACGTAATACCCTTCTCTAGCGATTGATCTTTCCTGATGATGTGTCCAAAGTAAGCAAGACGAAGTCTTATCATCCTGGCTTCTAAGGAGCATTCCAGTTGTATTTCTTCTAAGACTACTGGAATATTAAATGGAAGATGGATGGATGAGTCAAATCCTAGAACTTCCTCAAAAGCTAGCATGTCAGATCCCAAGTTGACCACGTATCATTAGGCGAGGTGTAGCCTGGGGGCCACTCCACGGCTCACTCGCTCCATGACCCCATCTTCACCAAGAAGAAGCACATGCTTGAACATGCTCAAGGTGGATTAGAAGGCACCACCCCTTGATTCTAGTAAGTGAAACAAGAATTCATTGGGGAGCTGGGATAAAAAGTTGCTCTGAACCCACAAGGACACAGGCTAGAAAGGTACATGAATTAAAACACAGAAGGACAAGGGAAGAAGGGAGGCAGGCAAGGATGAGGGGTGTTCCTCCCAGCCTCTTCCCCCAAACAAGTGCCACGTCCATTCATCAGATATTTAAGGAGTGTCTACCATGTGCCACCAGCACGCGTCTGTCAGTTTGTCATACTGTGGTGGCCACAATGTTGCTATGATGCTGGAAGCTATGCCACTGGTATTTCAAATACCAGCAGGGTCACTGGAAGTACAGCCAGAATACTCCTTAGAAGCCAGGATGGCAAGACTTTGTCTTGCTTACTTTGGATACATCATCAGGAAGATCAATCACTAGAAAAGGAAGTCATGTTTGGTAAAGTGGAGGGTCAGTGAAAACGAGGGAAAACCTCTGTGAGATGGATTGACATGGTGACTGCAACAACGGGCTCAAACCTCGTACCAACCATCGGGAAAACGGTGCCAGACAAGGCAAGGTTTCGTTCTCTTAGATAGAAGGTCAATATAAGGTCACCATGAGTCAGAGCCAACTCAAGAGCAACTAACAGCAATAGTGTGCCACGCGCTGTGGCAGGTGCTTTGAGAAGCCAGCAGGTGACCATTGTTGATGTTGCTCCAGGGTCAACATACTGTTTCAGGGTGCTTTGACCTGCCTTGTCTAAGTGTGAATTGATATTTTCCCCACAAACGGTCCCTTTAAAATGACTTGCTCTTACCCATGTTCATAGCAGCATTATTCACAATAGCCAAAAGGTGGAAACAACCTAAATGTCCATCAACAGCTGAATGGGTAAACAAAAGATGGTATATGCATACGATGGACTCAGCCGTAAAGAGAAAGGAAGCTCTGATACACGCTACGACATGGCTGAACCTTGAAAACGTCACACTGAGTGAAATAACCCAGACACAAAGGGACAAATGTTGTAGGATTCCACTTACCTGAGCTATCTAGAACAGGTGACGGCACAGAGACAGAGAGCAGAGTCGCTGTTAATAGGGACTGGGGAAGAGGAATGGGGATCTACCACTTAAGTGGGTGCATAGTTTCTCTTTGAGCTGATGAAAAGGTTTTGGAAATTGATGACGGCGATGGTTGTACGACATTTTGAGTGCAGTTAATGCTATCGAGTTGTACGTTTAAAGATGGTGAAAATGCAAATTTTATTTTATATATATTTTACTGCAGTAAAAAAGAGAGAGACTTGACTTTGAAGGGCAGAGCTTCTTCTCTTGGCCTCTCAGCACCAGATGCTTGGGGTTTTGATCACGAGAGTGGAGGCGGTTGGCAGGGGTTGAGTTAAGGGAGGCTAGGTAGCCAGGGTAGTGAGAGGAGGGCCTCGTGCTGAATGAAGGAGCTAGGACCACGAGGAGACCAGGGCAACATCTTGGATACAAAACACTGTAGTGCTTGTGTTCAGTGCTGTGGGCCCAGGGGAGCTCCTTCTCCGACTTCCAGGCAGAAGAGTTTTGTCCAGAACAAGAGTCTCATGGCTACACTGCAGGTAGGCAATGTGGATCAGAGTTCTTGCTTATTATTATTTTCATGTATATAAGCAATAATGCCAGAAACCGGGCTTGAAGAAGACATAGGAAAAGGGGAAAACTTGTTGGAAACAGCTCTGCATCCTTGAAACAGGAGCTGTGTTTCCTCCTGGATACCTCCCAAGATGAGCGTACGGGCAATCCAGTGATTGCCATTGGAAGTGATGGTTAAAACAGTGTTACGGGTATTGTGACTGAACCTGTACGTTACAAGAACGTGACACACCTGGCTAACCCACCCCATTACCTCCAGCAGAAACGACACCCTCCTGGATTATTGCCATCATCCTCATCGCTTCGGTTTTCATGGTCTTCCTCCTGCTCCTCGGTTGCTTGGCCTTGGTGTGGTACATTTACAAGAAGACAAAGTACACCTTCGCCCCTGGGAATTCTCTTCCACAGCACCTGAAAGAGGTAGGTAAGGTGTAGCAGGATGTAGATGAGAAAACCCCGATGGCAAACAGTTTCCTTTTTGAGTCAAGGCTGCCTGGTTCCTCTCTCCCTGGAGGATAACAGGTTTTGCACACAAGTCCATTGCCTTGGGTGAGCATGCCCACTTCAGGGAAGCCTGAGGCCAAGGAACAGTCCTAAAGGAGGCAAAGGCTTGTTCCGCCCACCTGGACATCTGTCCTCCTGGGGCCTTCACCACCCAAAGCCCCCAGTCCTCGGGGAACAAAGGGGATGCTTCTGGGACAGAAAGGGATAAAGCAGAGCTCAAGATGGAGAAGATGAGAAAGAAAAAACTGTAGGCTACCTGCCAGCTGATGAGCCAGGGACAGAGGATGGGAGGAGGAAGTTTCCATCTTGAATATCTTAGAGTGATTGAAATTCTGAAACAGCTAGACATGTATCCTAGACTTTAGGAGAACTAGTTTCAAAAAGTTTAGAAAAGGTGATGAAAAAATTTGGGAAATTGCTAGTGGTGATGGTTGCTCAACATTGGGGATGTCATTAATGCCACTAAATTGTGCACTTAAAAATGGTGAAAATGGCAAATTTTGTTACATGTATCTTGAAATTTTTTTGAAGTTTAGAAAGAAGAAAGAATGCATGTGGCTAGAGACTGTAGGTCTGCAGAGACCCAGGCGAAATGAAATTCGAAATACACGCTTACACTTGAAAATGAACATATGCCAAGCCCAGACCCCAGATGGTCTGTTCCCCGGGACACAGACCCTGAGATGGAGCTTTGCACTCAAAAGGCTTAGTCAGGGGGGGTGATACCTGTAAGGGAGTCATACCTGGGATCAATATCTGCAAGAGTCAAAGGACAGTCAATCCCCTGGGAGCTCTGGAGCTGGGATCCGCCTTCTTCAGAGAAGTCCCAGGGTGAGGCAAGGGAGACGGGCCTTTAAATCCTGCACCACCAGGAAAGGGGCATGTCCTAGGGTGAGGCAGCACCCTTCAGCCAGGGTAATTCCTGGAGAGAGACAGTGTGAGGCATTAGCAGCCAACACTCCTGGCAGCTGGAGGAGTGAGTGCCTCATTCCTGGGGGGAAGTCTGGGTGACACCCCAGAGCATCCACTACAGTCCACCCCATGCACCACTTGGATCCGTTGGGAGCAGCTGCTCCAGGATTTGAGTTGATTTCTTTTGCTGGGAAAGTTACAAGAGGAAGGTTAGTGGAACAAACTCCAGCCTCCACCATTGCAGCTGGTCTCAAGTTCACACTCATGGTCCCCCTCCTCTGCCATCCCTTCTGGAGTCCCCTCTCCCCTCTTCCATGGCTGGCCTCTGCTGACATAGGCTTCCCCAGATTGGGTGGCCCAGACTGTCATACCTGAGAGGTCTGAGCCTCCGGCCACCACCATGCCCTTCTCAGGCGATGGCTGCTGTACTTGTCCATTTTCCCATCACAATTGGGCAGGGGAATACCGTGAGCACCCCAGTGGCTCAGGAGGGCAGCTAACATTGTGTAACAACAGCCTGTCTCCACCTGGTGCGGCAGCAGGAGCTACATCAGCCTTGGTGAGTGGGAGCCCCCACTCTTGGCCATGCAGAGTCTCCATCCCTGCCACCAGAGCACTCTGCTCATGAGCCCTTTGGTCCACACAGGGATGGCCAGTGACAGAAGCTGGCTGACGTCAACTGGCCAAGTCATCTGGTCTACTTGTGGTTTGGTTCCCCTTCCAGGTGCATGCTCTTAGGTGGGAGTTAATAAGTGACACAGAGACCTCCACTTTCCAGGCTATCCCAGAGGTCCATCCACGTGCCTCTTCCCCAGACTTCCTCGTTCTTGATTGTCCAGTCTTCCTTCTTCTAGGCTGTTACCCTGCCTGTGATTTCATGGGTAGCCGAATCTCCGGCCACTTCTTTTCCATATAAAGGGGGTGACCAGATGCCCAGCCCGAGCTCTGCCCATTGGAAGGCTCCCCCCTCACTGCAGCTTCCATGGCCACCCCGGGCCAGGGCTGTCGTACAGCAGGATGTTGTTGGTTTGCACGTGCCGTTCTCCCTGTGAACCAAGGTTGACTTTCGCTCCATCTTCAGCCAGTAATAGGGCCCCCCCCCACCCGCAACCATGTGGTCACAGGTGTGCATGGAGGAACGGGCACCAGAGCAGCAGTGGGTGGCATGAGAGTCTGAGCCACCAGCCCCTGCAGCTGACACAGGCCCCCTGACCCACTCTGCGTGCAGTGGGTCTGACGGATCCATGTTGGGCACTGCTGGTGGTATGGTCAGCTGGCATCCTGCAGTCAGACGTTCTGTGTCTACCAGGTCCCTGTAGAGCTCTGGAAGCTGTGTTTCCAGTGGGGTATGATTCTCTGCTGCAGATGGCCTGGCCCCAGAAGTCTAGGGGTCTGCATTGTGATTCTCCTCCTGGGGCTTGCCATCAACCGAAAAACAAAAAGACAAACTCATTGTCATGGAGTCATTTCTGGTCAGTTCCTGGAGACTGGGCCATTCCAGCTGCTGGTATTGCCAGGAGCTGGAGGAGTGAGTGTCTCCGCCGTAAGGGATCTGGGTAGCACAGCACAGCATCCACTAAGGACACAAAGTGGGAGACAGTCCAAACTAGTGTTTCAGAGAGTCTAGAACCTTCTGAAAAGAGTGCCAGAGAGACAGCAGCTCCAGGGTGAGCTTTTGAAAAGCCACATTTGCAGCAGGAACAAACAACAAAGCGAGCCAGGCCCTTTGCTCTGGTTACGAGGTGTTTTGTTAACTGAGAACCAAGAGGAAACAAACCCCCTCACCTGCTATTTTTGCTTCTGGCTTTGCCATCAAAGAGCCCCGTCGGACAGGAAAGGACAGAGGGGACCCGTGCACTTCCCGGCAAATCAGCGCCGGACACAAGCAACAGTAAAGGGCCCCTTGAAACGAGCTCTGGCCTCCAAGGCCAGGAGACTTTGCCGTTACAACTGCTGAACCAGAACAGGCCTCTGGATCATCTGACGAGCAAGGCGGTGGGGGCTGGAGAAGGGCCAGGAGAGGGAGGGCGAAGGAAGCTTCAGGAAACTGCAGAGCGGTTCTGTCCTCACACCACGGAGTTCTCCAGTTTGACTCCTAAGGTGTGGACTCTTCTAACCATGACGCAGGGAATCATTTCGTGCTTCGGGAGATCTTTCTGGAGACGGAGGCGTTGAGCTGAAGAAGTGACGGGAAGTCTATCTGCCTTTGGTGTACTGAGCTGGCTGGCCAGCCGCTCCTCTCTCTGGGCGTCTGTCCTCTGCCCTTTTCCCAGGAAAATCAAGGGTACCTATCCCTTGACTCCACCGGCTCTGAGAGTTCTTGGGAGGACCCTTTTTCCATCACCTCCAACTTTCTTATTTCCTAACCAACCACCGTTTTCTGCGTGTGTCCAAGCAGGAAACACCCCCTGGTATTTGCTTCGTTGGACTCAATGCCCCTTCCTCTGCACTCCTATCCCCTTCCCCTTTGCCAGGAGAATCCAGGGTAGTTTCTAGCCCATTCTCATGAACCTGCTGGATCTGAGGATTGGGGGAAACTCCCCCTTCCCCCAGCTTCCTCCTTTGACCAACAGAGGTCTGGACAACGGTCCTCTTGCCCCCTCCCTCTCCCTTCCATCCGCTGGTGACGACCCGGGAGGGGACATCTGAAGGCTCCACCCGAGTCGGTGGTGCAGCTGCCTGCTGCTAAAGTTCAGTCCAGTTGAGTCAGTCAAAGGGCTGAGTATGGAAATCACATGAAGAGGGGGGCAGACCGATCAGTTAAACATAGAACAGAGAGTCAGCAGCCAGAGGGAAGGGGTTAAAAATGCAAAGCTTTAAAGAATGGTTCTCTGTCCAACTGAGAGGACATCTAGGAGGAGGAAGAATGAGCACAGTAAACCAGCAGGTAGTTCAGGAAACATACATGGGTCTCTTCAGTGTTCAAAAAGTGGCAGAGACCAGAATGTCCACATTGTTTAAAACATTGGAGAGACAAAGATGATTGGAATATGGTCCCTGCCCTGAAATAGCCCGGTCTACTGGGAGAGGCCAACGGTGAAGGGTCGGCGTAGGACAGCACTGCGTGCTAGAAACAAGGGAGCCATGTACAGTCGGTCCGTGTTATCCATAGATTGCATATTTGCAGATCTACCTGTTGGCTAAAATGTATTGGCAATCCCAACGTCAATTCTTGTGGCACTTTCTTGTGGCATGGAGTGGCGAAAAAGTTGAGTCACTCCACGTGCACCTTTCAGCTGCGGTCAAACAAGGCACCTCTCTGCCTTCTCTGTTCTCATGCTATGAACAGAGGCCTTCGCACAGCCTGTTTAGTGCTGCGGGTTTCACATGTTGTGCTTTTTGTTGGTGGTTCTGCCGTTCAAACTCACCCCCGTGCACAGTGCTGAAGCGCTCGCTCGTGCTCGTAAACGTAAAAGGCTGTGATACGCCTTCGTGTCAGACAAGCTTCGTTCAGGCGTGAGCTGCAGGGCTGTCGGCCGTGAGTTCATGCTCATGAATCCACGGCGTATATTGCACTAGGTGTCTTTACGCAGAAATGCGCATAAAACAATGTCAGGTGTTGGTCCGGTGATGAGAGTATTGTGACCAAGGGTTGTGGGAACCTAACCCGGTATTTCCCCTAGGATTAGTGGTTCCATATTCGCTAATTCAGTGTTCACAGCAACTTTACAGGATATAACTATTGTGAATAACAGGAGCCCTGGTGGTGTAGTGGTTAAAGTGCTAGACTGCTAACCTAAAGGTCAGTGGTTCAAAACCAGGAGCGAGATGTGGCAGTCTGCTTCCATAGAGATTGACGGCCTTGGAGACCCCATGGAGTTGCAGAGTCAGAATCGACTTGACAGCAATGGGTTTTTTTAATCATGAACAACCATCAACTCTACGTTTTAAATTTGCTAGTAGCCGTATTTTTAGAAAAGTAAAAAGACATGAATGAAGTGAATATGAATACATTTTATGTAACCCAGTCCAAGATATTATCATTTCAACATGTAATTAATCTTTTTAAGAATTACTGAGATGCGACAGTCTTTGTTCCATACAAAGTTTTGGAGATCTAGTGTGTGTTTCCCACTTAAAGCACAGCTCAGTTGGCACTAGCCCGTTTCAGGTGCTCCGTACCCACGTGTCGTTCACGGCCCCCGTACTGGACAGCGCAGTGCTGAGGGCTGAGATCAAGGGACACGCAGAGAGGGCCGCCTCACCCCACCTGCGGACCCGTGGAAGCTTCTGTTTGTTACTCCAAGATACGATCGCGTACTGCCTGGAGCATCCCTGCTTCCTGGGGGAAATGGCGCCCACAGCATCCTGATGGGGCAAAAAAATCTCCTCCTGGTTTAAAAGAGGAGCCATCCGAGGGTGACCGAGAATCACCTAGCAAATGAAGTGCAGATTTATTGTCGCATTTTTTTTTAACCCTTTCATGCCTGGCAGGACATATAGTGACCGGGAAATTTTTCAGCATCTGAGGTTTACTGGGAAGCTGCTGTACCACAGCGCACACTGCCACAAGGCAGGGGCCTTCGTGACTGTTCGAGACTGAAGAAACGGGCGTGTGCCGCAAATTACTGTTTTTACGGGGTGTTATATGAGGTGTCTGAATTTGTGGTAGGAGAAGTAGAAATTTTGAAAATTGCTTTTATGCGTATGTACCAATAGACCCCAGTGGGGGCCCTGGGGTATAATTAGTGGTGCTTCCTATGTGCCACTAAACACTTAAAGTAGACTTGTGGGAGGGGGCAAGGAGAAAAAAATCCGTACTGCCTACCAAAAATTCAGACACACTGAATGGTTCAGCATGCTTCCGTTCATGAAAACACATGCCATCAATAAAAAATTCAAAGCAGGAAATAATTGGGTCACCAAAGGGTTCTTACACCGTGTTTCGTAGCCTGCGTAAAGCGGCTGCATCCGGACAGAGCAGTGGGAAAACGTGACGATTAACGCGCCATGTCTTTCCTCCCACAGTTTCTGAGCCGCCCGCATCACAGTGCCCTGCTGTTTTTCTCCCTGCCGCCCTCTGGTGAGGATGAAGTCTTTGACAAGCTGAGTGTCATCACGGCAGACTTGGAAAGCAGCAAGCAGAGCCCTGGCGACATCTGCAGCCTCGGTGCCTCGTCTCAGCAAGAATCCCTACAGCCAGTGTCTGAGGAGGGGACACAGGCCACGGGGCACAGCGACCCCCCCACCTCTCCCGTCTGCCTCTGAGGGGCACCAGAGCGCCCAACAAGGGCCGAGAACCCCTGAGCAAACCCCAACTCTAGAACTCTTGGACACTGGACTTGTCTGAACAGCCAAAGAGCTATATTTTAAAGGCTTATCTGGCCAAAATACTCCATCTTGGGACTTGTTGCTTTATAAAGGATTCGTTGATTAAAAAAAAAAAAAGTTGGCCACTGAGGGTATAATTTTCAGTTTTTTATGCCCTGAGTGGCCAAACAGCTAAGTGCTCAGCTGCTAACTGAAAGGTTGACGGTTCAAGTCCAGCCAGAGGCACCTCGGAAGAAAGGCCTGGCAGTCTACTCCCAAAAATTCAGCCATTGAAAACCCTATGGAGCACAGTTCTACTCTGCAACACGTGGGGTCGCCATGAATCGGAATCAACTCGATGGCACCTGGTCCAGTCTGCTCACTAAAATAAGGACCAAGTCTTAATTTTAAGAAACAAAAATGTTTAAAATGAGGACTAGAAACCGAGACAGCGCAGAATCCTTCCCGACTGCTGATAGACTGACCTGAGCAACAGCCTCAACTCTTAACGTTTTTGATTCTTGGAGATACTGTTCCTGAGTTTATTTTTCTACTTGTGTATGTTTTATATCTCTGCTGGTGCTCTGTTAAATTGTGACTATTTAATCTGTACGTGTTCATAAGACTAGATTTGGGTAATATTTCATAAGGCCCCGTTTGCCTTGGTTGGTGTCCGTTCACTCAACAGGTGTTTCTCAGCACCTGCCTGCTGTCAGCCAGGCGCTGTGTTCGGTCCAGAGTCCTGAAGTCCTCCGGAAGCCCCCGGGCAAGGCAGCACCAAAGAGCAGAAGGTCCCTGGGCTTTGAATTCCAACTCAGACGCGTACTAGCCTGTGACCTCTCGGTTTTCCGGTCTGTACATGGAGATGATAAGACCTAAGAATGAGCGATACTACAGAAAAAATGCCTGTCATGGTGCCTGGCAAATAGTAGTCACTCGGTCAATGACAACACAGTCTCGTGAGTGTGACTTTAACACCACAAACAGGTCAGCAAGAAATGTCCCTTCCTCTGCCTGATTGCCCAAGAAAGGTTCATCAAAGACCCCCAATATAGGAAAACACTTTTTGAAATAGTCTTGTTGCCGGGCAAACCCCAGGTCCTGCTGGGCGTGACTTGTTACAGCCAGGAAGCAAGTGGCCGAGATGGGAGAAGACAGATGCCTTTATTTCGCTGTGTACGTGTCTTGGCCATCTAGCGCTGCTCTGACAGACATAGCACGAGGGGACGGCTTTAACGAAGAGAAGCTTGTTCTCTCACAGTCCAGTAGGCTGCAAGTCCAGATTCAGGGCGTCAGCTCCCGGGGAACGCTGTCTCCGTCGGCTCTAGAGGAAGGTCCGTGTCATCAGTCTTCCCTTGGTCTGGGAGCTTTTCTGGGCAGGAACCTCAGGTCCAAAGGACGCACTCTGCTCCCAGCAGTGCTTTCTTGGTGGTGTGAGGTTCCCATGTGTCTCTGCTCACTTCTCTCTTTTATATCTCAAAAGAGATTAGCTTAAGACACTATCCAATCTTGTAGACCTCATCAGTATAACCTCATCATAGTGATGGAGTTTACAACACATAAGGAAATCACATCAGATTTACAAAATGGTCCACAATCATACAGTACTGGGAATCATGACCCAGCCAAGTTGACAGATATTTTTGGGGACACAATCCCATCCATGACAGCAAGGAAAGGAGCATTCGGGGCTGTTGCCTACAGGACTGCTTGCAGGCAGCTTGGGGAAGTGGGCTTTTACAGAGAGCAGACAAGCAAATGCAAATTTATGATGAATATTCAGGATTGACCTTCAGGCAGGCTGTTAGAGCTTGGGGATGACTATGCATTTTCACTAGATAAGGGTTCGATTCTCCAGGATGGAGGAAGGGGTGGATTTTCCTTCATTAGGATGTTAAGTCTCCACCCAGAGGCGGATTGAGGCCATCTATGGCCCATTCTGTGGTCATCTTGTCAAGGACAATTTCAGAAGAAAGTGCAGCTTATTCTGCTTGGTGTAGGAGGATAAGCCAGAGCAGGTGTCTCTTAGAAGAGTTGGGCTCTGAGGCTGCCTGCCTCAGTCTGACATTTTTAAAACGAAGCATCATGGGGGAAAATAATCAGAACTTTGTTGGCCTTCCTTACACTCATTTTGTAGTTCAATATTTTAAAATTATTCTCAGCAGTATACTGCAAAGGAGTGACCACCATATTTTAGTTCTTAGCATCTCCAAAGGTCTGGGGCTGGTCCTATGACAAGAGAAATCAGCTGAGTCTATTCCCCAGTTAAGGAATCCCTGGGTGGTGCAGATGCTTAAGTGCTCGGCTACTAACCAAAACGTTGGCCATTTAAATCCACCCTGGTGATCTGCTTCCGAAAGATCACAGCCTTGAAAACCCTGTGGAGTACAGTTCTGTGCACGTGTGGATCACCACCGTGAGTCAGAATCGACTCAACAGCAACTGGTTTGGATGTTCTTTGGTTATTCCCCAGTTAAGCGTTCCCTTCCTGAATGTGGAGTGGATGGGAGGGCTGTGTTAAGTACTACACTGCGTGGGTACATTCGGTTTGGAAGAGAAGAAGAAGAGGTATCTGGAAGTGCAGTGGTTAAGCGTTTGGCTGCTAACCAAAAGGTCAGCGGTTGGAACCTACCAGCCACTCTCTGGGAGACGGATGTGGCAGTCTGCTTCCGTAAAGATAGAGCCTTGGAAACCCTGTGGGGCGGTTCTACCGTGTCCTACAGGGTCACTGAGTCGGAATCAACTCGGCAGTGGGTTGGTTTTGGGTTTTGGTTATGGATTGCATTATGTTCCCCACCACCACGACCAAATGCGTTGGAATCCTAACCTCTATGCCTGTGGATGTAATCCCGTCTGGTAATGGGGTTTCCTTGTTATGTTAATGAGGCCACCTCGGTGTAGGGTGTGTCCTAAACCTAATCACTTCTGAGTTATAAAAAGAGCACACGACACAAATGCCTGCACCTCCGGGGAAGACGGATGCCGCGAGGATCCTCTGCAAGACAAGGAACCAAGGAACGCCTGGGGCTACTGCTGTGCTCCGATGGGTTTCTCTATATGGCCTTTCTGGCCCCTGAGTCTGTAATTCTCCCAAAATGATTGATCAAGCCACAATCTTGCAAGTGGTTGGTTAATTTATTATCCACATAAGCAGTTTGCAGGTGATTGGTTGGTTTATGACCCACCCTCTAGTTGACCTTTACTAGGATTGGCTGGGGAGCTCCGCCCAGCCTTCATTAGGATTGGTTAGGGAGCCTGCCTTGTAATTAACTAGGTGTGTATAGGCTAGCCTATAAAAACCCTAGAACAGGGAGCTTCAGATGGGGCTTCACTTCCCTATGGAGGAGCTGGTCCTGTAGACAGACACAGGGCCCTGCGCTAAGATGCTCCCAGACCGAGTAAACCTGTGACAGTGACACGGGCTGCAATGGTACTAGAACAGAGCAGACCCAGACGGTGACAGCAGAGTGTAAAGAAACCCAGCCAGAGCTGAGACTTGTGACCAATAGCTGAGCCCACCAACTGATGTCATTGAATTTTCTGTTTGGAAGTTTCCTGCTGGATGAGAATGAACACTGGTTTTCAGGAAGGGTGAGCATGTCCTCTTTTAGACATTAAGACCCCATGCTGGGACCTCTCCCAAAGCTTGGGCCTTTGCACATCTTCGTTTCTGTTTATACCCTTTGTTTAACTCCTTCTCTGTTACTGAAGCTGTTAGTGCAGTGATGTTGTTTCCATGAGTTCCCTGTGACCGTTCCCATGAACTATCAAACTCAATAGAGAAAGTGTCCTGGGGGGAACAACTGGTGTCAGAAATGGTGGAGAGGTTGGAGAACAGGGTATATTTGACCTCTGCCTCATAGGAACTAGCTTGGTGCGGATTCTTACACACTCAGAGTTATCCATATAACAACAAGGAAGAAATCAACACAGCTGAGACCCTGATTTGGACTTTTAGCCTCCAGAACTGGGAGGAAATTAATTTCTGTTCCTTAAAGCCACCCTGTTGTGGTATTTGTTTTACAACAACACTAGCTAAACTAGCTAAAACCCACATAGCCATCGAGTCAATGCCGACTCATAGCGACCCTACAGGACAGAGTAGAACTGTTCCATAGGGTTTCTAAGGCTGTAAATCTTTATGGAAGCAGATTGCCACATCTTTCTCCCTCAGAGCTGCTGGTGGTTCAAGTCGCTGACCTTTGGTTAGCAACCGAGCTTGTAACCATTGTCACCACCAACCAAAACCAAAACCCATTGCCCTCAAGTCAATTCCGACTCATAGCGACCCATAGGACAGAGTAGAACTGCCCCATAGGGTTTCCAAGGAGCAGTTGGTGGATTTGAAGTGCAGACCTTTTGGTTAGCAGCTGAGCTCTTAACAACTGTGCCACCTGGGATCCCAGGGCTCCTTTAAACTAGCTAAAGCACCCCATTATTAATCTTATCCCTGTGTGCACATTTGGCATTCTTTTTGCCTGCCTCACATCTGAATCCGTTTCATATGTTTAAAGCATCTCCCATTCTATAGGTGAGAACTCCTCTCCCATCTTAAGGGCTCAAAATGCCACATACTCACTTTCCCTTCTTCCTTGCTCCTAGGATGTAGACACACATCTGGGCTCCATCCCACACTCTGAGAGGCAGGGGTTCTTTCAGAAGCATCCATTGGTGAGGGTGCTCGGCAACAACGGCAGTGACATCCTTTTTAGACTGGGCCTGATTTGGACAGCGTCCCCCCACCCTCCCTAGGCTGGTTGAGTGACCCTCACAGAGATTCTATGAGCTCCCAAACACCACACGATCAAACGCCTTTTCTGCTGTCATCAGAGTTGTTGTCTTAGTTCCCCAGTGCTGTGGTTTAAAGGACAGAAATCTATTTCCTTCCAGTTCTGGAGGCGAAAAGTCCAACTCAGAGTCTTAGTCATGTGGATTCCTTTTGTGGGCCTCTCTCTCTGGTGCCTGCTGGAGGTCTTGGCATTCCTTTGCTTATAGGCGGTCCTCAATGGCATCTGTTACGGACTGAATTGTGTCCCCCCAAAATGTGTGTCAGCTTGGCTAGGCCATAATTCCCGGTATTGTGTGCTTGTCCACCATTTTGTGATCTGATGTGATTATCCTATGAGTTGTAAATTCATGGCAT